AAAATCTTAAAACAACAACAACAAATGGATATTTATCCAGCCCCAGCACTTGCTGCAACATACCACGCAGGAAGTAGAGCACTTTTCCTTTGAGCCAGCTCAGCTAATGGGTATTTGGAAAAACCAAACGAGGGGAAAAAATGTTCTTTGATGTATTTTTAAAAGAAAGTAGATGACATTTTATTCACTATGTTCTATTTTTTTTTTTTTTTGAGAGGTTTTTGCTATAGGGCACGTGTGCTCGCCAGACAGACAGACAGAGACGGAGAGACAGAAAGCGAGAAATCACCCCCCCAGGGGGGATGGCCACACCGCAATCCCTTCTCCTCCATTCTCTCGGGATCTTGGGCACGCCCGCACACGCGCCTGGCGTGAGTTTAAGTCACCGGGTCTGGGACTCGAACCACGGTCGACTATGTGGGAGTCCAGCGTCATAGCCATTACGCTAACTGCTGGTCCCTCCTTCACTATGTTCTATTAATAGCAGAATGTGCTGAGCACACTTACTGTTTATAAATTCTGTTACCTTCTGTAAAAATGAAGGAACTTTCAGCCTGCAGTGCATTTAGCTCCCCTCTCAACTCAGCTACGCCCATGGCAAGCCTCCTGTATGAAGTAGTCACCTCCATCTCCGTGGGAGTGACGTGGGCGAACTCTTCAGAAGGCAGTACAGGGAGATGAGGTTTATCTACCACGTGAGCTGGCTCGGAACAGGGCTTGGAAGACAAGGATTCTCTTACTAGTATGGAAAGTCAGTCACTTAACCACTCGTGCCTCGGTTTCCTCATTGTGAAACGTATCTGAACCTATGGTGGCGACGTTTCAATGACGTGACGCAAGCCCTTAGCCCTCAGGGCACGACGGATCCAGGTGACAGTGGACCCCACACTCTGGGGAGCGACCAGTTTGCTATCACGTGTCTGTCACAGACAGGACTCTGCTGACTGCGTCTCAGGCACCCTGTTTAGACGTTTGTGACCTGCTCTAACCACACTTTATTTGCTTGGCTGCTGGATAACAGAAAGCGAGCAGTGATCAAAATTCATAGATGCTCTTGAAATCAATCTCATCTAGAAACTCATTTCAAAGCTAGTTGTTACACACTTTGCATCAGAATTAGGTAAGAGGCTGACTTGTTTTATCTGCTGTCTTATTGATGGAGGTACAGATAAGCTTTTTTTCTCTCTCTCTCTTTTTGGAGAGGTTTTTGCTATTGGGCACGTGCTCTCGCCAGACAGACAGAGACAGACAGAAAGCGAGAAATCACCCCCCAGGGGGGATGGCCATGCCGCAATCCCTTCTCCTCCATTCTCCTCTCGGGATCTTGGACAGGCACGCACACACGCCCGGCGTGAGTTTAAGCCACCGGGTCTGGGACTCGAACCGTGGTCGACTACATGGGAGTCCAGCGACATACCCATTATGCTAACTGCTGGTCCCCAGATAAGCTCTTTGTAATTCAAGTTTATTTATTGATAATTCTTCAAGGAGTGAGAAGGAGACGTACCACCAATGGGGCCTTGATGCCATAATCCACCTCTAGCCAAGCCGGCCCCTGATCCGGGGCTTCTGTGTGCTGGGCATACTCAGGGAGGTCTTCAGACTTGAACAGATCATCTTCCAATGTGAAATTGCCTCACAGAGCATCACATCTTCCTGCTGCATTGCCATCTAGCCCCAAGATAAGCTCCTTAATGACCAAAAGGGCCAGTCTGAGTAGAGAAGAAAAGCGAGTGCCCAAGATGATGTATGAAGTGAATGAACTTTGAAAGCACTGGCTGTGAAAGGAGGTGAGATAGCTATAATTCCAGGCATCTCCGATCAAGTTAAATTTGGGAGAAGTGGTCCCTAAGAGACCAAGGGAACCAAATTAGTGGGAAAGACTGGACCCAAGAACAAGTTCTAAATTCTCAGAGCATGCCCTGAAAGGCTTTGGCATCCCTTCTGAACCCATTCTGCTATGGGTTAAATTGAGTCTGCCCCAAATTCTTATGATGAGATCCTAAAACCTAATACCCAAGAATGTGACCTTATTTGGAAATAATGTCTTTGCAGATATAATTGTTGAGTTGTCAGGAAAGTCATGACACATTTATGCATAGAAAAACATAGAAACAAATGTCATGACTTAACCAACTTATGGGAGTAGGGTGGACCAACAATGCCCCAATATGACCAGTGTCCTTATGAAAAGGGGAAAGCTGGATACAGAGAGAGAGAGAGAGAGTTGAGTTAATGTGAAAGCAGAGATAGGGTAATTCTTCTATAGCCCAAGAAATGTTGCAGATTGCCAGCAAACCAACAGAAGTCGAGAGACTTGGGATGGAGTCTGTCTCACAGCCCTCAGAGGGAACTAACCCCAACAACACCTTGATCTTGAGCTTCTAGGCTCCAGAACTGTGAACCAATGCCTTTCTCCCAGTGATGCCACCCAGTTTATGGTACTTTCTTATAGCAACCCTAGCAAACTAATACACCATCTGCCATCTTGGAGCTTTGTGGAAGTAGGTCATGTTGAGAAAAGAGCTGGGAATAAAGTTCAATGAATTAGCAGTTTCTTGTGTATGAGGAGACTTCAAACAGTTGTTGGAAAATGGAATTAAAGTGTGAGTTCATTTTGGTGCAAAAATTTCAAAATCCATGCATAGTTGTTTGATAATGCACATTTTCCTTGAACTTTGAGAAGACTTATTTAAATGAAGCAGTCTTCTACTCCAGCCTTGATACAGACCCCTTGATATAGGTGACTGAAGTCCTCCTTCCATGAATAAGAAAGATACCCAGTTGTATTTTGCCGCCTTGATACAGACCCCTTGATATAGGTGACTAAAGTCCTCCTTCCATGAATAAGATACCCAGTTGTATTTTGCTTGTCACAGTGAAGACAGCGTCAGGGAAGTGGTCTAGCATTTCTATTCCTTTTTTTTTTTTTTAAGAGATTTTTGCCTTAGGGTACATGCACTCATCAGATAGAGACAGAGACAGGGACAGTGAAAAATTATCCCCCGGGACCAGCAGTTAGCATAATGGCTATGTCGCTGAACTCCCACGTAGTCCGACTGCAGTTCGCGTCAGGCCGGGCACATGTACATGCGTGCCCAAGATCCCGAGAGGAGAATGGAGGAGAAGGGATTGCGGCGTGGCCATCCCCCCTGGGGGATGATTTCTCACTTTCTGTCTCTCTGTCTCTCTCTGTCTGGCTGGCAAGCGCATGCGTCCTATAGCAAAAACCTCTAAAAATGAATAAATAAAAAATCATTCCTCAAGGGGATGGCGATGCCACAATCCCTTATCTTCTTCTCCTGGGATCTTAGGCATGCATGCACATGCGCCCAGCATGATTTTTAAGCTAACAGGCCTGGGACTCAAACCACAGTCATCCATGTGGGAGGGAGTCCAGCAATGTAACCACTATGTCATCTGCTGGCCCAGTGGTCTGGCATTTCTAGGTCTCAAGAGCACAGAAAGATGGCTTTTTTCTAACAAGGCATAGATAGCACCAGCCAAAATAGTAAAGTATTTCTAATATATAATATATATATTAATATAATTATATATACACACACACACACACATATACACACATATAGGTTGGGGCCAGCAGGTGGCATGGTGGTTAAGGTACTGGACTCCCCACATGGTCGACCATGGTTCAAGTCCCATATTTGGCGCTTGAAAATCAGGTTGGGCATGTGTGTATGTGTGCCCAAAATCCTGAGAGAAGAATAAAGGAGAAGGGATTGTAGCATGGCCATCCCTCCGGAGGGTGAATTTTCACTTTCCCTCTCACGATTTCTTTCTGTCATTCTCTGGTTAGTGCATGCCCCCTAAGGCAAAAACATAAAATAAGTAAATAAATATTGGTAAACATGTTCTCCCTCACAGGTAGAAGTGGAAAACAACAGCTCCATAGGGGTAGAGGAATGAAGAAGGACTGCTAGAGGAAGGGGTGGGGTAAACAGATGTTGATTAATGGAAAAAAATAGCGGCTAGGAGGAACGAAGTCTAGTGTTGTAAGATATAGTGGGAAGAACACGCAGAGGGACTAAAGGGAGGATTCTGAATGTCCCTAACACGAGTAATGACAAATGCCCAAAGATGATGAGCATGCTAATTACCTTGAATGATCATTATATATTATATTTTTATACTGTGAAAATTATATTGTACCCCCACAAATAAGTACAAATATATATATATATAAACTGGGGGCTGGACCTAGTAATAAGTACGTACAAATATATATATATA